AGTTCCAGTTTTTCGGAATAAAATGTAGGTAAAACCTGCCTAAAACAATGCGTAGCCTAAATGTGTCATGATCTTGGCGCTGATGACTGGCTTGATTGCTCATTTCATTCTCCTGCCTAGTCCACCCAGTCTCTCATTACCATTCATCATATCCACCTGTTCCAGCTTCTATTTAAACTGCTTGCTCCCAGTCATCAGTGCCAGATTATTCTTAAGTCTTTGGTGTGAGAGTTTTCTAGTGAAACAGATTGTGTTCTGATTGCCTGATCCTGACCCATTTTGCTTTTGGACCTCTTAGCCTGCCTGTTCTGATCTGTTTGCCTGACCTGTATTGGCACTCATGCTGGGTTCTTCATGTAGACTGTACCTAGATGTGTCTCTTGAGTTTGCCCTCTGGATTATCCTGCATTCCTTCACCTGTTTGGATCTTATCTCCTGTTTGTTCCACCGTCTTTAAGGTTTCAGCATCTGGAACTCTCAGGGCAGCAATTGCTAGGTCTTGTCAGCCGACCGGCTGGCACCAACCATGTGGTATTTAAAAAAGTCAGATTCCATTTGATTTGGCCTGTTCACACAGTTATGTCCCACCTGAGTCACTGCAGGGCAAAAAAATTGGGCCACATTTGTCTGCAGTGTGAACATATCCATAGACACTGATGATGACATCCTGTTTACTTTAGCATTATCTAAGCCTATGTTCACACTGCGGACCTTTACGCTCAATGCCGATTTTTTTTTTTGTCCGATTCTTTTGTTGTTTGTTCGCATTACCAAATATATGCAACCTGTAAGTGATCTTCTTTGTAAGCTGTATTCGTACCAATTGAGTGTCCTGCATGCACAGCAGAGGACGCAATGACATCAAAAGTAGCGAGCGTGCTCTGTGTTTATGGAAGTAAACATGGATGGCAGTGCTGGGGCGCATCTCGCAATCTTTCATTTCTTTTGCAACTGGTGCTAGTACATTAACACTGCAATCTATTCAAGAGGGTCGAAATAAAAATTATCATCCGCCATGGTTGTTGTTTTTCTTTCAGCTTCTGCTTTTCGATGAAGGTGACCTAGACGTTCAGACACAGCTTGTATTTGAAAATATCTGATCCAAATCAGATTTAGGACCATATAGCCAAGAGGCCTGGGTTGTATTTGAAAAACTTGTATCTGTATTGTTCAGACTGTCATGAAAAGATTAGATACAGGTCGCATATGGGCAAAAAAATGGGATTTAGGTCACTTCAGGCTGCAGTCTGAACGTAGCCTAAGATGCTACTACAAAGATGATGAGGTAACTGAGACTTTTAGCATTTATATAGCAGGAAGTCATTTTGCATACTGAATGTTTGGTCTTCTCCCCCTGGAAGGATTGTTTGAGCCTCACACTGAGTAGGGGATTAATCTCCACCCGTCCCGTTCAAGTTCTCCAGGAAATCTAAGTGCCAGTCCGCTCCATTGCTCCTCAGGAACCAACGAAACCAAAACCTGTCCGCCCTCCACCGAGCCCCTCCATCTCTGGAAAAACACACACAGACTGGATTCAGGGAAGAAACCTTTCTCCGCTATCGTGAGTCCCGATTATCTCTGTTTTTTGCTAGATGTTGTTCAAAGTTTCCACGGACCCTGAACTAACCTCTGTGAACTTCCTTTCTCACTTTCAGTTCCGGTTCACCAGCTCTCTAAGTTCCCCTGAATCCAACCCATTTCAACTCCTCAATAAACCTGTTAAACTTTTACTCTGGTTTCTCTGAGTGGTTTTCTGCATGTGGGTCAGATCTCTTAAAAACGTCATGACATTTTTTAGGCATTGGTTTCGACTAAACGAGGCAAATGGACTTAGAGGTCCCACATAGGTTACTGCTTTTCTTCTAAATAGTTAAGTTAAATGCTGCGCACCTGGCAGCCAGATACACATAGAAAACATTTGCATCATATTTGAATAGATAGAAACAGGAACTTTTAAAGGCAACATTTTCAATAAGATATATGTGGGTATTTGTGGGTTTATCCAAAAATAAACAGTAAGAAACAAAATAATCTGGATATAATGGGATATAATTGGGATTAGTCCTTCAGGGATATTCCTTAGGTAAAACTGAAAGAAAGTTTATCATCACCTCTTTTAAACTGAAAAAAATTTAATTCTGATAGTCAGATAAAAGATTTTTTACACTTGGCAGAAGATGTTGACCTGCCACATATATTTAATAAGTAGCTAGGGCAGTGTGGAGTTCAAGCGCAAACTCTGAGCTAAGCGTGGGCAAAGACAGATTCCTGCACAAGCACAGCTGGCAGAGCAAAGTTTATCTTTTGTTGAGCGTGCATCAGACACATTTTGAATGAACGTGTGTGGGATTTATACATTGCACATCTGTCCCTCCAAGCTCTCAGTCTTGCTACTGTGCACTGAAGTTGGTGGCATAAAGTAGCAGAAAGGAGGTCTTCCCGGTGTTACAACAGGCGCTTGAATTACAGTCCTAAATCATGATTTTTTTCATTTAGTGTGGGAATAACGATTAACACATTCAGATAAACACAAATCAAAGAAATGTTTTGCCAAATAAAACAAAAAAAAAAACACGCCATCAGAGACAGCCGTACTTCAGACAAGGCTATGCCGAGAGAGGGATGCTGCAGACGGGCTAACATTAGACCAGGCTGCATTTAACTTCGGAGCTCCGCTGGTTGGCACGGTCCTCTCAACATCGGAACTTTACTTAAACTCATCAGCATCAAGTTTTTAATCCAGTCTCTTTGTCATGGTCCTGGCACTGGTGGCTTGATTGCTTATTCCACCCACCTGTTTAGCTCTGCCTGTTCTCTCATCATTTCTTATCCCTTCAACCTGGTTCCAGCCCCTATATATACTGTTTGGTTTCAAGCTTCCAGTGCCAGTGTATTCTAGCTGTTAAACTACTTTTCTGATTATTCTGTTGGTGACCTGTTTCTGTCTTGTGGATCCCGAGTTTTGCTTCGCCCCTGTCTGCTCAATTTGTATGATCGGCTCTGGACTGTGTATTGGATGCAACTGGCTTACCGAACCTGGACTGTTTTCCTGACCACGGCTTGGACTCCCTCATCGGTACCTCATCAGCTTTCAGATCTCCTGGTAAACGAACTTGGTTCGGTTTCGACTTCGACTTGGATCTCCCTTTCTGGCAACACCTGCTCCTCGGCGCCGTTTGGCTTCAGCGCCGCTCTCTTCACTGCGTTTCGGGGGCCGCTCCCGCCTGCGGCGAAGGACCGTCTCCTTTGCGGATTCTTCCCCTCCTTCTGTGATCGGACCGAACTTTGAACCAGGTCAGTGACTTTAGCTCTTAACTGCTTCCAGCCATCCATTCTTAGTCACTGACCTGAGTTTCTGTTTCCACAGAGGATCCGTGTAATCCGCCCCTGCTGACGCGCCGTTTCACGCTGCTTGTTAAATAAAGTCTGTTAAACTCTTCCAGCTCTGTCTGTTGAATATTGGGTCCAAGGTTTAGAGCTTCCTGACACTTTTTCGGTCAATGAAGATCCGCACCCATAACTCGTCATGTTTTCGTCCTCAAAGATCCATGTTAAGCTTGTCAGTTCCCATTTTGTTATATTATTGTAGGAAAAAAATGCAGCGTCAACAAAGTAATTTTGTCTTTGTTGACGAAATCTACACTGCAGCTAACCCATAATGCATACAAACGTTTTAAAAAGTTAAGAGAAGGGATATTCACCACAAACTTATTATCTTTGAGGGATTAAATTACTTTCTTAAAAGATGTAATTTCTAAAATGTTATCTTTATCTTAAAAAGTTTTCTTTATCTTATAAACTGTTTTCTTATAAACCTTTGCTACCTCTTGCTTTATATTTCAAAAGTTTCTTTTTTTTGCCTCATGATTTGTTGCCATAAAACTACCCAAGCACGCTGTTGACAGCCAGAGAGAGTAAGAGAACGACAGAGAGACAGAGAGAGTCAGACACTGCACACCCATCCTGAAGTGAGCAAAGCAAACTTTCAAGAAGAAAGTCGCCCAGATGCCACGCGTGGGAGGAAGCCCTTATTTATTTATTTCTGTTTATCTGGCTGTCAGTAATTTATTCTGAACACGCTCTTTAAAATACTCCCCCCACCACCATTCTCTCCCCATCTCTTCCCTGCAGATTAAAGTGGGGCTGCGACAGGGCTGTGTATTCCCCTTGCCTATTGTCTAACAAATATCTAAAAAGGGGAGGCAGGAAGCAACAGCAGCTCTTGTTCTTTCCCAAGAGCTGAACTGAGACAAAGAGGTGTGGTAGGATTTGCAGCTCTTCGCTTGCACCTGCTTAACAGTCGGAGGCTGGTTCCTGTAGCAGTGGGGTCGCGGTTCAGGCAAAAGCAAACAGCGGCACTCGCCCAAACTCATACATGCATAAATGGATGCATGCAAACACCACTCTCACCACAGGTTTAATTTGTAAAGATTAAAGTGTGGAGTGTGCAGTACAATACACAAGCTCACACACTTTTAGCAACACCTGGGAGTGTGAGTGCTAAGTGTTGTTGTGGCCCGGAGCAGACTACCTGCTGTTTCTGCATCTTTCTCTCTCACAGTAGACTTAGGCACACGTGTGCGCCCCCAACCTCCACTTTCCACCATTACCACACACACATCTAATGATGACATAATACAAAAACTGATGAAAAGATATGTGGAAGCCCTTTAGCATCGACAGAGCACCTTACAGTCTCACACAGAGACTCAGACAAACCTCTCCCCCGCCCCACACACACGCAAATGAAATCTCACCATATTTAGACAGAGAAGAAAGGATTACCTGTAGCTGATTGCTAGTAATCCTTTCAAATGTAGAAGGGGAGATTGAATCCCCATTGTGGATGTGTGCCAGTGAGTGTGCGTGTGTCTTTGACCTCTCTGTGACTTTCTATTCCATTCAAATGGAACAATATTTTATTTTAATTAAATGTAAAGCAAAGAACAGGTGTACATTTAAGAAAGCAGCAAAGCGAGACACAAGACACAGATACTTACAATATTCATGAGTGTCAGCAGGTACTTTTGGACATGCTCCTTCCCATGAAACTGGACCACAGAGTCGTCGACTCCCAGCAGCACTTCAATGTTGTAGGCTCTGTCCAGACTCTGCCGGCGCACTCTTGAAGCACGTGTGTTGTTAATGCTTTGCTGCACACCACGGTACAAAGACTCCAGGTCCATCAGACCACCCAGATCTGCACCTGGTGATAGGGAGTAAACAAGAGCAAAACATGTTACCAAACGGATCTGATAAGACAACGCAGTGTGAATGTATATAATCTGTCATGTAGCAAAATTATTAGATCACCCTAGTTTTATTGTATACTTTGGACTCATGATACTACCTGACAAATACAATAAATACATGAAATGAAAATATGTGCAGCACTTATTGCTTAATTCATAGAAAGCAATACTTTTATAGCAATATAGTGGCTTCTTGATAATTGCATTAATTTTGTTTAACTTGAAAAAAATCCATCCATTTTCTCCCGCTTAGTCCTTGTAAGGGTTGTGGTGGGGCTGGTGCCTATCTCCGGCAGTCAATGGGCAAGAGGCAGGGCATACGCTGGACAGGTCACCAGTCTATCGCAGGGCAGCACACACACACACTCATATCTAAGGACATTTTAGAGAAGTAAAGTAACCTAACAGTCAAGTTTTTGGGCTGTGGGAGGAAGCAGGAGTATCCAGAGAAAACCCAAGTATGCACATGAAGAATGTGCAAACTTCATGCAGAAAGACCCCAGACCTGGAATCGAACCCAGGACCTTCTTGCTGCAAGGCAACAGTGCTACCCTCTACTAATCATTGCTATACAGTACAGCGACACTTTAAAAAAAATTAGGTTACTATTGGTTTTATTAAAGCAATGCACTTTTTAGCTTTTAAACATAAGTCTCTCAGTAAAAAGATTTATTTTATAAATCTAAAATTTATAAATCTTTTATAAATCTAAAATAAAATAAAATAAAATAAATCTAAAATTAACCCTTTCCTTAAAAAAGAAAGGGTTAAAAAAAAAAGAATACCGCTAATATAATCAAGCCCGTCAAAACAGGGTTTTGTCAGACTTTTATTTTATCATCAGAAAGTCTAGATGACCCAGAGAACTAAGAGCAGAAAATAAATTCAGCCTTTTATTATGAAGAGCCAAGACATATTGCACGGCAGGATTAATGGAAAGGTAGCATTTTGTGCTTTAGTTTGTTTATAACAATTTGAATACTTTAAGAACTTTTAAGGTGCAGGTGGTGAATTCCCTTTTCCCTGGTATATAAAGATGACACAACACGATGGCTTATTTATTGAAATTGGCAAAACAAGTGAAAATACTGATTGAGTAAAGTAGTTGTATGCCAACTTTCCTTAATCAAACAACCCATGTTCCTTGTTGTAGTTCCTTCCTACATGTAACTGTGAGCGCTGTTCAGATATATAGCACTTATTACTGCGGACACACTTCCGCCGTAGTTTAGATTTAAGCGTGAATATTCCCAACGCACCAAAAGCTATGTTGTTACTGGGATGTTGTGCGTCAGATTTACGGGTATTCAAGAAACAGCAACACATTTTTTCCCGCTTGGGATTTTAGTACACATAATAGAAAATACAACTAATTGCGTTCATTTTCTAAAACGTTAAAATGCTTCTCAATTAATTAACCGAAATCAACCAGTTAAATTCTGGCCCTTATTCAAACTGATTAAACTCTGATACTGAGTCACAATTG